TTGTACACAGAAATCTTTGCTGAAATATTTAAACAGATATCTGTACCACAATAGAAGGCCAAGATGTCTACGTTGATTGTTGTAACTAGTAATAACTTTATGGAAATACCAGAGTACTTTTGAAAGTGTTGAGAGGAAATAAAGAATACGACCAAAATATCCACAATTTGGTCGTACTTCCCAAATATTTACAACGGCTTTTCACACAGTCCGACTGATAAGATTAATCAATCTTCAGAAGGTGGAATGAAATAGTACGTTGTTGTAATTCTGAGTTCATGCCTAAAGAGAACTCAGAGTCAAACATTACACCGACAGTCTCAAACTCCAGGCAATTATCGACGAAGAATCCATATCTGTTCTTGAAATGATGGAGTAAGTTTACCCTTCCATATTAATTCATTTATTAGATATATCACACAGTGAAACGGTATTATTTATCCCACCCCCATCACGCCCTTTATGCAGTAAATAATACTGTTTCACAATGTGTGATGCATCTAATAAACAAATTAATGTGGAATAACGTACTACCACAGTGTCCAAGTTTTACACATATGTCAGATTTACCCTTGTTGTGTTCTCTAATCTCTGTAGTTTAGTTATGAAGCGTTTGTAGTCCTTCTAGGCGAAAGTTTCAATACTGATTTCGAAATAAAATGGGTTTTCTATTCATTGGAGCTTTAGAATTCCGACAATAATTTCAGACATTCGTCATGTAGATATTGGAATGATTATTATTGCAGCTCCAGAAGATAATTTTGTTCTAGTCATCTGATTTGATTGTAAACACCTTCTTTTGATAAAGCTCACTCAATATCCATGCTTCTTCAAGACGATTAGAAAATATTACTAATGTTGTCCACGCCAAGTAAAATACTAAGTCACATCATCCTGGAGAGAATAAAGGGTGCACTGGATACAGAACTCCGCCAGCCCAGAACAAGCTGGGTACAGCAAAGGCAAATAGTGTGCTGATCAAATTACAGCTTTACGCGTCGTCATGACAGAACGAAGCATAGAATGTCAGTCGAACCCGTACCTCAACTTCATCGGCTTCGAAAAGGCCTTCGATTGCGTTGACTGTGCCACGAAGAAATTTGGAAACTGCCTCAACACTACGGCGTGCTGTGACCAAGTCTTTATCAACCTCATTCAACAGTTGGCTATATGACAACGGCACGTGTCAAAGGATTCACAACGGAAAACTCAGCCAAGCGTTCGAAGTGCACACAGGAGTAAGACAAGCTGGCTGACTGCATATTATCACTGATGATATTCTTAATTGTGGTGGGCTGGATTATGTGTCAGACTGTGCCTGGGAGTGAGGAGTCAGGAATACACTGGACCACCGATGAGAAGACTCTAGAAGATCTGGATTTCTCAGATGATATATGTCCAATGTCACACAAACTCGAAGACTTGCAGGCGAAAACCAGCAAAGTGGCTGAAGAGGCTAGCGACGAAGACAGGACTCCAAGGAAACAGAGAAGACGGAGGTGATGAAGATAACCAACGAACTGCCACCACCAACAACAACCAGCACCAATCACCATCAACGGGAGAGATTTAACAGAGGTTGCCTCCTCCACTTATTTAGGCAACAAGCATCGTTTCAACTACAGGCGGAATGGACGAAGATGTCAAAGTCAGCCAGAATCGGAAAGGCAAGATACGCCTTCATCAACCTGAAAGCAATTGAGAAGTCTTGTGCACTCAGCCAGTATAAAGAACAAGATTCGGATTTTCAACACCAATGTGAAGTCCTTCTATACGGGTCAGAAATTTGGTCTGCGTGTCACGAAAAGGATTTCCAACAGGTTGCAGACTTTCATCAACAGCTATCTTCGCTGGCGCCATAGTGAAGATCAAATGGCCAGAAAGAATAAGTAGCAAGAAACTCTGGTTTGCAACAAACCAACCAAGATCCGATCGCTCAACAAATATGTAGGAGAAAATGGAAATGGACCGAATGACATCGCACTCCAGGTCATCGCTCGAGTGGAATCTCAGTGGGAAGCGACTATTGGGTGGTTGGTGCGAGTGTGACATGAAGGACATCATGTGAGGAAGAGATGGGAGAGTCTGGCCAATCGTGGACCCAGATGAGGAGAATGGCAGAAAACAGAACAAAGTTGAGATGTGTTGTTGAAGCCCTATGTTCAACTTGGAACGTAAGGGAATAATAACGACAATAATTCCTCTCAAGCTGGCGATACATGAATGTGTCTAGGATGTTTTGCATAATGTTTGTATGCAGTTCGTTTCAGGTGCTGGAGAATTGTCGAGGATCCTGTTTATTTGGATTAACTCTTTGTAAAGTTTTGTTTCTAAATTTCCCCTAATTGTTCCTTTGACTAAGACAATCAAGAACGGAATTTTGTTGTCTGATTTCTCGTCTCTTGTAAATCTGATGTTGTCAAACACGTTGTTGATTGGTTAGTGATTCCATTCCTTCTAATTATGATGAATTTGTTGTCCACATTAATGTATCCAGTCATTTGGTTTGTATACTGATAAAACTAAAGTTTAAGTTAGTGAATAACAGCTCCCCGAATTAGTCATGATATGGATGATTCCATCGGTGTTGCTTTTATATAAATGTATATTTGACCACTGAAGTAAACATATGTTATAATACACAAACCCATGAGTTCCGACCACTATTCCACTATGAATTTGTTACAGTATCGTACTGTAACCTCAGTTTTGCAAAGGCAAATTTGTACATAAAGTCCCAACCAACTTTAAGGTTGTATCTTTTGTGTATTTAGAAATTTCACTACCGTTGGTTAGTTAGTTGTTGCATAGTTTCTCTTGCAGACTTTTGTCAAGTTAAAGTGTACAGTACTGTAATATGTGCGAATATCATGATTTCCATGTCATCTAGTTGAAAGTTATTGATCTTTTGTGGAAAATAGGACTGATGGCACAATGGAAAGATCTATATTTAGAAGTTGTTCATGGATGGGAAACTACATATATTCTAAACGTTTTCTTCCAATCCAATCCAATAACTAGAACTTAGAACACGAAACATTTGTTCTGACAGTACAACTGAAGGTGAAATAAAAGTCCCGGAGGATATTTTATCTAGGAATGCATATCTTGAGAAGTTCGCCACTAAATACTCTGCAGAAATTAGCCCCAGTAGAGCTCTCGAAATAGTCTTAAAGAAATCTGTCTATATCAGTTTGCCATTCAAAGGAGATGGTGTACAGGTAGTAGTCAGTCGAAGACTCGACAAAGCCATTATGCTGCAAAACTTGTTTTTCTTAACACCAACCACCTAGTGGGTGCATGATGGAGCATTTGCCAAAATGGTTGAAAACAGCTGAATGCAAAGTGCCAAAAACCTCAATAACAAAACATCTTGTGGACTATGGACATGATATCGACGCTGTCAGTAGACAAAGAAACAGGAAGATGCTTGCAATTCCGGAGGAGGCTTGTGCAATTCGAGTTTATAAATCAGGTCTCTGTGTACAAAAGGAGATGGTCGTCACTCTGGATCTACCAGGGTAATTCATTTTACTTATTATTCTACCTCTTATTATTGTTATTATTATTCTTGATTCATTTAAAACTATCCTTTATCAGTAGCATTATCTTAACCCACTTCAACATGACTATTACTGTTATTATAACTATTACTATTGATATTACTGTTTGCAATTCTAATGACTAATTGTTTATCTAAGTTATGTAATTGAACCGTAATGCATTGTCATCTTAATTTTAATCTCTCATACTCCCTTTCCCTTGTTTATCTGAATATGACCTGAAAAGCATTCGCACGTGCCGTTCTGCATGATTAATCCAATGCTGTTCATTGACTTATTAGTCATTGTGTCTCCCTGTGTAATTCTGATTGCACATTTTTCCTTGTGTGTAGAGTATTCAGCTGAAGAGTTCTACCGAAATTGGATGAGTTCATTAAATTCTGATTTATTAACGCCTTTTGTTGCTCCTTTTAAATATGTTTGTGATTTGGTAGAATGACCACAGGATTCTGTTCATTATTTTACATTGAAACAAATTTCTCCACATATATTATAATTTGAAATTCCTGGGAATTATCTGTGTGTGGCCTGAAATGAGTTAAAGTGAGTCTACTCTAGATTTCATTTGCTACTTATCTTCTTTTGTGCCTTCTTCTGATTTGATGAGTTTGTGTGGGATATATATTGGAACACATATTCATATCTTTCAGGAAGTTCTCCACCTCCTTGGTGTGATCTCTCCCTCTCTCTGTGAAAAGAAAGGTCTCCAGATCGATGTTTCATACAAATTTAGTTAACAAATCTCCTAAAGCTTCCATATTAGATAATTTTATTTTAAATATCACACAGTGATGATATGATATTAATAATTGGATGACGTTTCAAGCATAAATTCATGCAACTCATAAGCATAACAGTTTAGTCACACGTATTCACAGTTATATCTTACATATATATATATTCTCTCTCTCCATCTTCCAATTGTTTTTTGTTGTTGTCGCTTTCCATATCGCCGGTGTAGGCGTTGCGTCATTTCGACTGCATGTGTGCGGTGTTGAATCGATCAACAAAGCTTCAGTGGTTAACCTTTCTGTCTCTCTCTCTCTCTCCACCTAACTATATTACTTTTCAATACTCTCACCCTGTGCCATCCTATAGCTGTGTGATTACATGCAAGTGAATGCAGTGCAATGGATGAGCTTTTTTCTAGGTTATTTAAGTTAGCAGGGTCAATTATGCTAGGTCTAGCTAAATTTTTATGCTCCAATAATCTAGTTGACCCTGATCTACTAGTTTGACTGACCTATGTAATTGACCTCACTGACAATCATTACATGGTATTTGGTAAATTATATTATTTTGTTTAATTGGATCTATTGGGTCCTTAAGCCGACAAAGTTTATCTCTGAGAGAGTTGGTTGGTCTCCTACAGCTTACTGAATAGAAGAACAAATCGATACTTTCAAAGATGACCTCTTTTAATGCAGAGAAAAGTAGTAAAATAATGACTTTATTATTATTATAATGAATACTATTATAGTCTATAAAATAAAGCATAATTAAAATTATAAAGGCAAAAAGTGGGAACATTTGTGTTTCAAAAATATGAGATTCATTAAAATGAGGAAGGAGTGCATTGCACCCTGTAAAAGCGTAGATAGTAGTAGATTGAAAAAGAGAGATAAACACTACGTTATGTTATACACAATAAGTTCACAGGCTTTCATTTTATATTTGCATTCCCCTCGTAAGACAAAAAGAACACACCTATTGTGCATATATTACTGTTAAGTAATATAAAGAGTAACAAAAATCAATAGAGAATAGCAGTCGTAGTACTCGTGGAAGTAGAATGCTAATTAATAGAGAGAATAGAAAGGTACACAAAGGAATTTAAGTGATAATCACATAAATACTGAATTATACAAGAATATTTTAACAGTCAATGAGAATCAAGTTGATCGATCATCTTTGAAAGATTCATTGTTCACGACATGAAGTCAATGCAAACCCGACGAATAGAATTAATCCATCTGAAAGATAAAAAAAGAGGGAAGGAATATGTTGACACATAACTTATAGGTGTGACTGATGAGTTGAAAATAAATATGCGTGAAAAAGATTAAACTAGTGTGCCATTAAGAAATGTGTCCGTGGTTCAGAGATAGAGCGCTCGGCAACCACTCCTCATGCGGTCAGGGGGTTCGGTCCCCGACCGGCATAAACCGACATCCTCGCCTAACCGATAAGAAGCCCAGTAATGAGGGGAGGTTGGACGTTGAGGCTAGTACTCTCACCCTGTGAAAACAAAATCACACTTACCGAAACTTCAAAGATGTAGTTTGAAGGCCTTAGTTCCACTCGGAAATTGACGGAATAAAATACAACAAATGAACCATTAGGAAATTTGGACAGACTATTAGGAAGCCAACTTAACTAAAATCCCTAAAGCAAACAGAGGGCATTAGTGTTGTGTTACCACAGTGCCCAGAGGTTACACACTGCCTGTTTAAAGGGGTATGAAGATTTTACGATTCGCTACCTTTCAGTACACAGTAAGCCAGAATATGCAATTATTGGGGTTGGGTATTTCTAATTCCCACTGCCCCAAGGTAAGAAGCAGTCGAGCTGGTTGATCAACCGAGGGAACACTTTACTGCTTCTACACCTTTGAACGTTTAATCAATATGCCAAAAATATAAACTCAACTGGAATATTTGCAGACGACATATCAATTTCAAAATACTTTTTCGTACTAATCTGCACAGACTAGGGGACGCTTGACACTGAATTGTCCTACTTTAAGACTATTTAGAAGAATGCAGTACTTCTACTCCATGTAGGATTCAGGCCAGAATCAGCCAGTTTCATGCTGAAGTTGCCTACCGATCAGTTAAGATAGACTTTAGTAAATAACAATACATAGATGTATAGCTTTATTCTGAACAAAATATTTACACAGTGTACAGCATTCTCAGCCTAATTTATTGCACAATATTTTCTCTTCATCCAGGACCTTCAAATAAAATAGTAGTCTATAGGATATCATGTGACACAATGCTGTAAGATCTGAAACATAGACTAGTCCCTTATGATATTTTTCCTTCGTTGGTAATTTGAAAGCCAACTAAGCACATTTTACAACTCAAGGAGATAACTGAATGATTAAGACAATAAGAATTAGAGAAAATATGATGAATTGTGTTAGGTAGGTCAGTGATTCAAGCAGCCCACCATCACCAACACGACTAGTGTAAAAACCGATTGTATTTGTAGAAATTAGCAAATCTAGACCTTTGGATCCTGATTAACTGGATGAAGAATAATGTCGTCTTCAAAACTACTGACAATTGTAGCTCCACTTCAGGTGAAGATAACGAAAGTGAGCTCATTTTTAAGAGTCTTAAAGTAGGACGAAACTATTTTTAAACGAATGTCTGTGCTTTTAAAGATTCTCCGACTAATATTGATTTATGGTAAAAAATTTACTTTCAATAAATATAATTAAATACTTCATTATGAGTTGAAATTTGTTGGAAAACCATTGGATAACCGCAACTGGAGTATTGGACGTTCGTTTCGTCCTGCTCAGAGACTCTTCATCAGTAGGTACACACCACAGGGGTTCCACGATAGAACCTTCCGGCTACAAGGAGAGTTAGCCCTTAGACCATTGAGCCACTGGAACAAATCCAATAGCCAATCCATGAACTACAACTTCTTTCAATTCACGGTATATCACGACTGGCGCTAGCCAATGTCATCGATTCTAGTAGAAAGTCGTGAAGAGTGGGGTACAGCAGGTCGGGTATGAGAACAAACACTCGCCATCGATGGCAATGGCTAGTGCGAGTTACACTATATCGTGAATTGGCAGAAGTTGGAATTCATGGACTGGCCATTGGATCAAGTCCCAGTTGTTTGCTTAATGACGGTCTTCGAGCTCTCCTTGTAACAGGAAGGTCCTGAGTTCGACCCTTGGTGGTGGTTGAGTACTGATGAAGAGTTCCGAAGTAAGACGAAATGACTATCCACTACTCCTGTTGTGGTTTTCTAGTGAGTCTCTTACCGATGTCAGGTGATGATGAAATCCTGTAACCAGTCAAATCCTTGCAAATCAACACTTGAGAATTATAGATACTAATAAATACAGTAAAAAAGGTCTACTGCATCCAAGATGCCTTCAATTGTACCCTTCAGAAAGATATGATTAAAGTCTACATAAAAAGTAACGACTTCTCTATAAGCGGCATACGAGACACTGATGAATAACTCCACACATTTCAAGTGTAATACATATTTGTATATTGTCCAGTTGATATTTTAAATAAGAGGATTTAACATGTTATGAAAAGGACATTAAGACTTGCATCGTCTTGCCGTTTAACATCCTCTAATAGCACGATGGATTATCTGACGCATTTGGACACTTCTACAAGTATTGATCTATTTTTACCTGCTCCTAAAGAGGAAGATACATCGGTTGTTTAATATAAATTTTGTTCAAAAGAGTCAGGACGCATTATCCCGCATGGTTTGAGAAAGGTGACTGTGGATTAATTCAGAGTGCTGCGGATCAAATTCACAATTTGCGATCTGCACAGTTCGAGTGGTAAAACTCCATCATATTTTCATTTATAAACTAAGTGATTCAAGCTATTCGAATACACAGTGTACATTGGTCACTCAATGTTGAATAAAAATTCGTTTAAAGTCATCTGCAAATTTAAAAGGACCTCCGCCCCCAAAGCATTATGTTTCAATATTCTTTGAACGTGGGAGAAACTTGCCCACCTACTCCATCTACCTTAGATATAATTCTAATTCTTTGTCGTCAAAATCTCGGTGTCACTACTATTTGTATATGGTATTTCTCAATGTTTTAATTATTAGCACCATCCTCTTAAGTACACTTTTGTTTGTCCTGTTCATCTCTTACAGAATATATTTTATATTGCCCAACCTCTAGTCTCAGCTCACTCACACCCTTAATTATATTTTGATTAATCTCCAATATTCTGAAATATTTTGATGCGAGCGACATTCTAAAATGATTCCTTTTTCTAGGTATGTTTGACACACAGGTAATACAATATAATTGCAAGTGTATAGCAAAGTTAATCAAATCACTGGAAAGAGTGACTCTTCTGACTAATCTGTTCTTTTTTATAAACGTACTTTAAATTATTAACTAGTCATTGACTTGGAAAAAGATTCACTACTTCTAAATTAAGAAAAGTTAGCTGACTTAGCAACTTCTCTCTTCACTAGACAACCTCAACTTTTTTCGGTGACACTCTGATTACTGTGCAGATGTAGTCACTGGCTTCTGCACTTGACTTTCAGCTAGTAGGTAGAGGGTTTGAATATCCCTACAAGTACTTCAACCTGAATTCTAGCTAACTAACTGACTGACACTTATTTGAATGGAATGAGTAAAACATCTTTGCTTTCAGTAAGTCATTCCCTACAGATAGATAATAACACTAAACAAGGTTGATTGATAGAAGAACCAGAGTTTGTTATTAATATATGTGTAAAACGTGGGCACTGTGGTAATAAGTAATTCCATATTAGTTTGTTTATTAGATGTATCACACATTGTGAAACAGTATTATTTACTGGATGACGTTTCAAACAAAATTTATTGTTCATAATCATATCACCAATTATAATCACATGACTTCGAAACTTGAGTTTTATAGTCTTCTTTGTTCTCTCCGATTTGTCGTAGGGGTAGTAGACTACAAAGAAAACTATAAAACTCAAGTTTCGAAGTCGTGTGATTATAATTGATGCTATGATTATGAACAATAAATTTTGTTTGAAACGTCATCCAGTAAATAATACTGTTTCACAATGTGTGATACATCTAATAAACAAACTAATATGCAGAGTTTGTTAGTCAAGTCTCCTGGTAACCTTGAACGTGACTGATTGCTCTTGTCTCTCTTCATACCCTCTAGTCTACTTCTGTTGGTATTGATTGGTCCCTTGACTAGAAATTTAACTTTTCGTGCATGAGATTTTCCTCTTATGAATTGGTAACTTATCTATTTCAATGTGCCTGTTAATTGCCGATTCACCTGAATACCAGGCTTCCCAAAATTCTCTGGTGTTTTCTCTTCCTAATATTTAAACGTTGTCCCAGTCGAATTGATGTCCGTAGTCGTCTGTATGCAGCGATATGAGGGAGTGGATATCATGTCTTTTGACGACTAGCTTATGATCATGGATACGAAGACGAAGGGGGCGTCCACTTTGTCCAATGTAGTGATTTTCACAGTCGTTGCAACTTATTTAGTAGATGATGTTGGCTGTATCTTCTTGCGCTGTTGAGTCTTTTGGTTGACACAGAGCTGAGGGAAGTGATTTTGTTGGTTTGTGTGAGACGTCAATTCCTAAAGGTTTGAAGAGTCTTGCAGTGACTTCTGAGATGTCCTTTATATAAGGTAGGGCGACTTTCTTTGTGCTTTCCTTGAACGTCTTTGATTTAGTAGGTTGGCTTTGGGGTAGATGTCTTTTGATGAAATTCCGTGTGTATCCATTCTTTTAAAAGACGTCCATGAGATATCTTTCTTCAATTTTCCTTAAGGTGGGAGTGCTACAATGAGTCCTGGCTCCCTTGAATAATGTTCGTATGCAACTCGCTTTGTGTGTTATTGGTTTGTTACTGTTGTAATTGAGTATTTGATTTGAAGGAGTTGATTTTCTATAAACTTGAGTGTCTAATTTTCCTGTGGTTGTTCGTTTGACTAGGACGTCCAAAAATGGGATTTTGTTCTCGGATTCCTCTTCCCTTGTGAATTTGATGTCGTTGAATATGTTGTTTATTAGGTTGTAAGTTTTGTCTAAGTCGTTTCTTTTGATTATCACGAATGTATCATCCACGTGACGTATCCAAATTTTAGGTTTGATCTTCGGTAGAATTGTTTTCAAGTCTTTGCAACACAGCTTCTACAATCAGACCTAATATGGGCGATCCCACAGGCGTCCCTTTCATTTTTTCATATATTTACCCACTGAATTGAAG